AGTGGAAAAGGCTGTAGAAAGTTTCAAAATCTCCCCAACCTCAGCCTCATCACATGACCAACCCTCCCTCTCATTCCGGCCTCCTTGACGTGATACAACCTGTCCATCTTCTCTCCCACCTATCCACCCCACCCATCCCGCTGACCAATCCTCACCACTCCCCTACCTGCACTCACCTATCACCGTCCCACCTACATTCCCTAGCTCCACCCCTCCTCTCTATTTATTTCTGAGCTCCCTTCCCCCTCCCCCATTTCTGAAGAAGGGTCCCACCCCGAACGTCTGCTTTCCTGCTCTTCTAATGCTACCTGGCCTGCTGTATTCCTCCAGCTCCATGCTGTGTTATCTCTGACTCTAGCATCAGCAGTTCTTACTATCTCTTGTAGAAACTTGAGTTGTGTTGCATGCTGTATATGTTATATATAATTCCCCTAAACTTCCCAATAAAAATTAGCGTATCCAGCAAAAACTCCTGATCTGAGGGCCTGTTTTTAACTTTTTAAATAATACCTTTTAACATTTTTATTGCAGCATTCATCTTCAGTCCATCCTTTTTAATTAGGGCTTTGATGACTTGCCCAAAATTTCCTTCTCCAATAACATCCTCGAATTTGATGTCATCCCATTCTAGGATGGGGTATGTCAGGGGCTCAGGCTGTGGCTTTGGCCTGCGTGTGAGCGTCAGAGTTCCAGAGTTAAACTGAAGGACTGTCTCTTCACCCTCAAAACAAACAAATAAAACTGAAGGTTATCTATTTGTTGCCTTTTGGTTACACAGGATTTTGCTGGCATGTTACTGCAACACTTGAGTGATTCGTCCAGGGTATGAATCTTTCTTTTATTCCAGGATTATGAATTATAACAACTAAGAGTATGCAAGTTTATCTATGAAAGGATTTCAACAAGGAGTCCTTCCTTAAACAACACAGATCTACTTGATGTAAATGGAATCACTGCTTTAAGTTTGGCTTTGAGCTGTCGCAGATGAACATTAACAGTGGGATGCATGCAACAAATGCCCAATGTCCAGCTGCTGTGTGCAAAAGGCATAGAGTTGTACAGTATGGAAACAGACCCTTCAGTCCAACTCCATGCTGACCAAATATCCTAAATTAATCTTGTCCCATCTATCAGCATTTGGCCCATATCCCTCCAAGCCCTTCCTATTCATGTACCCATCCAGATGCCTTTTAAATGTTGTAATTGTACCAGCCTCCGCCATGTCCTCTGGCAGCTCATTCCATACACGCACCATCCTCTGCATGAAAACGTTGTCTCTTAGGTCCCTTTTATCTCTTTCCCCTCTCACCTTAAACCTATGCACTCTGTTTTTGGATTCACCCACCCCGGGGAAAAGACCTTGGTTAAAAAGGGGAAAAATACCCTATCCATGAGTTTATAAATCTCTATAAGGTCACCCCTCAACCTCTGATGCTCCAGGAAAAATAACCCCAGCCTATTCAGCTTCTCCCTGTAGCTCAAACCCTCCAACCCATGTAACATCCTTGTAAATCTTTTCTGCACCCTTTCAAGTTTAACAACATCTTTCCTATAGCAGTGAGACCAGAACTGAACACAATATTCCAAAGGTGACCTAACCAATGTTCTGTACAGATACAACATGACATCCCAACTCCTACACTCAATGCACTGACTAATAAAGATGAGTGTACCAAAAGTCTTCTTCACTACCCCGTTTACCTGTGACTTCACCTTCAAGAAACTATGAACTTGCACCCCAAAGTCTCTTTTTTTGGCAACACTCCCAAGACCCGACTATTAACTGTATATTTTCTGCCCTGATATGCCTTAGCAAAGTGCAATACTTCACATTTATCTAAGTTAAACCCCATTGCCATTCCTTGGCCATCGGCCCATCTGATCAAGACTCTTTGTACTCTGAGATAACTTTATTCAGTGTCCACGACACCACCAATTTTGGTGCCATCTGCAAACTTATTAACCATACCTCCTACATTCACATCTAAATCATTTATATACATGTCAAAAAGCAGCGGACCCAGCATTTATCCTTGCGGCACACTGCTGGTCACCGGCTTCCAGTCTGAAAAATAACCCTCCACCAACACCTTCTGTCTCCTATCTTTGAGCCAATTTTGTATCCAAATGGCTAGCTCTCCCTGGATACCATGTGATATAACTTTGCTAACCAGTGGAACTTTGTTGAATGCCTTGCTGAAGTCCATATAGACAATGCCCACCACTCTGCTTTTGTCAATCTTCTTTGTCACTTCTTCAAAAAACTTAATCAAGTTAGAGAGACATGGTTTCCCACGACAAAGCCATGTTGATTATCCATAATCAGCCCTTACCTTTCCAAATACATGTCAATCCTGTCCCTCAGAATCCCCTCCAACTTACCCACCACTAACATGCTATTCATTCAATAAAAAAAACAAGAAGGTCTGTAGTTTAAAGGGTTCAAGACATCAAAGGATTCATAGATGAATCATACTTTTACACAATAAGGTTTGTGGACAAAACCATTTTTAGTTGAAAATTCAGGAACTTAATACAGTCTTTATCTTTAATTGTGGATGTGCTCTGAACCTTGATGATCAACAAATATGAAGACAAACACAAAGAAAAAGAAAGATATCCAAAATTCAGAGATAGAAACGAAAAAGTGTAGGTCGAATCAAAGATTAAAAAAACTTGGTTCATTGAAGCTTATCCTTCTTTATTACATTCATCTTAGTTCTGAATGCCCGACCATTTTGTTTCCACCTTCACATGACAAAGAAAAATGTGTAAAGCAAACTCAGAAATCAAGTGATAACGGACAGGAGGAAATACAGAAAGGAGAGAGAGAGAGAAGGAAAAGTATAACGGTGGTTTAAACTGGTATTGTGAAAGGCCAATTATAAACAGTCAAAGCTAAATCAAAGCCAAAATCATTTCAAATTACAGTTCTGTATTTGCAACAAATCCAAATGTGCATTTTGAAAAGTAATAACAGGTTATGAACAAGTGGATTGGGAGATTTCCACGGAATATTTAATCTGAAATTTGAATTTGAATAGAATCATCAGATTACGCTATGTATTTATCTTAATCTAAATGCTACTTACAGATCCTGATTGGTAAGTGAATGTTCGACGTCGCTGGAAGAGGGTTTTACGTACACAGAAGAGACCCAGAAGTGCAAGGAGGATGGTCAGACAGGTCACAGACACTGAACCCACAATGGCCATCAGGAGTTGCTGGTCACCACCAGTGGGAGGATCCAAAGGTTTTGGCGTCTGAACAATACCAGAAGTAGCTAAGAAAAGGCAACAAAGCCAATGTGAGGAAACAAAAGTCCTTTCTGGTGCTATTGACTTTGCAATTATATCTCCTGCAAACACCTATCATACACCCATTCTACACCTATTGTATAACTGAGCTGATTCAATGAATATTATCACAATTGATCATCCTGGACTTTGCACTCAGGTTGATCCTGAAAATGTTGGACTATAAAATGCTCTACATTCAAGACGAGTAAACTGACTCTTAGACATGCATAATTCATTTTTGTGCTTTTGCATTTGTCCTTTTGGGCATCCTCTCACTCCCTTTTCTTGACATTGGCAGCTATGCTTAGAAGTTAGGTTCCAATCTCTGGAACTGCTTCATCTCTACACTGGCTTCATGCTTTAAGACTTTGCAGAAAACTCACCTTCTGGAGCAAGCTTTTAGTCACTTACCCATTATTTCCTACAGAACTGCAATCCATATCCTGATGCATACCAAATTCATACCTGTCCACACATCAATGCTGGTGTCTCCAAAATACATAGGCTCACAGATAAGCAATGGCTCATATTTGATTTTCTCATCTTTGAGTTTAAATCCCTCTAAACCTTTCCTATCCTTACAATACTCTGAGAACTCTGTATTCTTCTAGTTCCAGCCTTTTGCATACCCCTAATTTCTTTCATCCCAACATTAAGGGTAATTCCTTCAGCTGACTAAGTTTTGATCTCTGCAATCCCCTCCTTAAACCTCTCCATTACTCTTACTTCTCTTTCTCCTCTTTTCAAAATGCTCTTTAAATCCCATGTCTTTGACCATGCTTCTTATGTGTCAATTTTTGTCTTGTAACAGTATTGTGAAGTCACTTGGGACATTTCAGTATGTTATGCTTAGAAATATAAGTTGTGTTAGGAACCAAGGAAAGAACTGACTTGATGTTCCTTAATGCATATTGAGACTGAATATTAACAATATACGCCTACATACACTCACATATAAATATACATATACATACATATATTTATATACACAAATCCAGCAGTTAGCTGAGTTTTTACAATTCTTACCTGGTGGAGTTGCTGCTGTTCGAAGTTCTTTCATTACATTTGGTTTGCTCTCCCCCTTGTTGTTCTTGGCTAAAACCTCCACTAGATAGGGAGTCTCAGGTTGTAACCCCTGCAAGACGTACTCTGAAGTTGGCATCTCTGCCAAGTTGATTGGTATATCTTCAGTGTATGTTGTAGCCCCATACACCTTACACCTTATAACCACAGAGGAGATGGCATGTTTTTTTGGCAGTACCCAGGAGATCACTGCAGATGTGTCAGTAATGTTTGATATTTTAACATCATAAGGTGCTGGAGGAATAGCTGGAGTTCAAAACAAGGAAGATAATGTTTACTCATTTATTTAGGCAATAGGAAAACCGGTCACAGTAAAAGACGCAAAGAGAGAGGGACCAATGGAGAGAAACCAGCTGAGAGGACAAACTGCAAAATTGGTGAGGGGAGAGGAAAAAAAAACCTCACTTACAGTCACTGAAGGTCCAAGATGTGACAGGAGTGCTCCATTCACCTGCAACGTTGGACTGGGCACGGACACGAAACTGGTACTGTGTGCTGGGACTTAGATCTTTGAGAGTTTTATTTCCAGTTGTATCGATCCATGTGGGCTTGCTGAGCATTTCCATCTGCTGGTACTCAATGGTGTATTTGTTTATCTCCTTTGTGCTGAGAGGCGGCAGCCATTTCAGTTGTATGGTGGTCATGGACAAGGGAATAGCCTGTAGATTTCTGGGAGGTGGTGGACCTGCACAAACAGAATCAACTTCTTCAATGACATGCACTTTTATCTCCACATGCATTCATAATTGATCTCATGATTCTGAACTAAGGGTGAACCTTGACACTGCCTCAGCACTAACACTTTGTGTAACCCCTAGTGTTAGGAAGGCTTCCACAATATTTTTAGATGACTTGAGTTTTAAAGGATTGTGGAAAAATGGATACATTTCAAGTTCAATGGATACCTGGGATTTTTTGTTTAAGAGTTGTGTGTGTGTGTGTTGTGTGTGTGTGTTTATTGAAGTATTCAGAAGGGCAAATATTTCTATTTTCGTATTTCAAACTGTGTGTTAATTAGCTTTACGTCTTTGCTGAATATGTCTTGTTCACACCTAAATGAATGATTTTGATGTTTACTAAAGGAACATGGTTGGTGGATCTTTTTATTTTAAACTTAATATTAATGAAGTAGGTAATTGGCCCTATCACTACTTGGCAAAAGTGAAGTAGTGGGGATTACTACACCTGTGAAAAGCAACATTGGCATTTTATATCACACTGACAAGATTAGACTGGCCCTGTGCAATAAACTGATTCCACAGTATTGCACCTCATGGAGCACAATAACATACATATGTTGTATAAAGTAGTGGTTCCAAAGAGGATAATGTTCATGTCTCATTGGTTCTATCCACTCCACTTATAGCACACGTGGTGTAGGTGGAAACAAGAAGTTCTATCCTAGCTTTTGGAGGGAGCAGATGGACCTGTACAGTTCCCTAAAGTCCCATAGTAATTATGTCTAATCAGTTATAACTGTGCTATGCTGAATTGAGGGGAAGTAGTGGTGAATGATAATGTCACTGGACTAGAGACACAGAACCACACTAATGTTCTGGAGCCCTGAGTTCTAGTCCCATGAAGGCCAATTGTGAAATTTTAGTCTAATAAAAACCTGGAATTAAATGATGTTTGTCTTGAAAACCACATGGTTCATTAACTGTTTTAGGGAAGAAAATCTGCCATCCTTACCTGATTGGGCCTACATGTGACTCCAGACTTGCAACAGTGTGGTTGACTCTTAACTGCCCTCTGGGCAATACATGCTGGCCTAGCCAGTGATGCTCATGTTCCATGAGCAAATAAAAAATTCTCTTTATCCAGGAATCCTTTACTATCCTTTACTATTAATCACTTGATAAACCCAAGACAGAAGAGCAAGCTGCCTCAAATGACCCTTACGCATAGCACATAGTGGTAAAGATTGCAAACACCAAAATATACCGGGAGTGATCATTGGAGAAAATACTACAATATACACCATGGCACTACATTCAGTGTGATAAATTCATTTTGATACCACTGTATAACATGAAAGTTTCAAGAGATAATAGTCTGTATGACAGAGAGATTTTTTAAATTCATTCACAAGATGTGGGCATCACTAACCAGGCCAGATTTATTGCTCATCCCTAATTGCTTAGAGGACAGTTAAGGGTCAATTGCATTACTCTGGGTCTGGAGTCACTTACAGGATGGACCAGGTAATGACAGCAGTTTGCTTCCCTAAACTGACTTCATTAGACTCTTAGTCCCAGACTTTTATTGAATTCAAAATTCACCATTTGCCACAGCGGGGTTAGAACCTGTGTACCCAAAACATCATCAGGGTTTTTTAAAAAATTAATAGGTGCAGCAATAATACCACTGAGCCATTGCGTCACTCTCTATGGGCTCATAACCTTTGTAAAATGGACATTACACATCATAGGACTGTGCCTTGTTAAACCGGGAATTACTATGGAACTGTACTCTATGTAACAAAGAATATCACGGAACATGATGTTGTGTAATTCAGATAGCACAGGACATTGAACTGAAATACAGAATATGATAAAACTGCTGTCTGTGTAACATTGAGCACCATGGGACATTATACCATGTAACAGGAGAGAATGTTTTCTTTAAGACATTGTTGCTGATATTTGAGCTACCAACTGTCATTGATAATCAGGAAAATTTTGAAGGAAATGTTTCTTTTTCATCCTAAATTATTCCATGCTGTGCCCAGAGCACTCTATGAAAGTCACAGTTAAATTTGACACAATTAATCTTCTTTGAGATTCTTTGATAGAATCGCAAAATCCCCACAGTGTGAAAGAGGCCATGTGGCTCACTGGGTCTTCATGACCCTCTGAAGAGCATCCCAGCCAGATCCCAGTCCCCTACCCTTTCCCTGCATTTCCCATGGTTAATCCACCTAGCCTGCACTTCCCTGGACACAACGGACAATTTAGCATGGCCAATCCACCAAACTAGAACTAGGGTTCACAGCCTCAAAATCAGGGGGATAAGATTTAGGACTGAGTTTAGGAGGAACTTCTTCACCCAAAGGGTTGTGAATCTGTGGAATTCCCTGCCCAGTGAAGCAGTTGACGCTGCCTCGTTGAAGGTAAATATCAATAGGTTTTTGAACAGTAAAGGAATTAAGAGTTATGGTAAGCGGTTGGTTTAGTGGAGCTGAGTGCACAAAAAGATCAACCATCATCTTATTGAATGGTGGAGCAGGCTCAATGGACCAGATGGCCTACTCCTGCTCCTATTCTAACCTGTTCATCTTTGGACTCTGGGAGGGAACCGGATTACATGGCGGAAATCCAAGCAGACATGGGGACAACGTGCAAACCCCACACAGACATTCATCCAAGGTTGGAATCGAATCTGGGTCCCTGGCAGTGTGAGGCAGCAGTGTTATTTGTTTATGCATTCCACTTTTCTACATTGCAGCTATTAATCAATGCATGCCCTAGTGTGCTGGGTGACTGGGAAAAGCCTTCCGATTCTGAGCAGTGTCATAATCTCATCATCAACTGAAACATGCAGGTGAGAGCCACTACTCTCAACACCAAGGCACTGCAGTTTCACCCAATGTGGCAATGAGGCACCCAAACAAAACGTAGCTTAATGGGAAACAAAACAGAAGTTGCTGGATAAGCTCAGCAGGTCAGGCAGCATCTGTTAAGAGAAATCAGAGTTGACGTTTCGGGTCCAGTGACACTTCCTCAGAACTGGGGAGTTGACCTGCTATGTTCCTCCAGCTCCACACTGCATTGACTCTGACTTCCAGCATCTGCAGTTCTTGCTATCTCTGAGTTCTACA